TTAATGCTATAATATTACCTATTTTTGGGGTACTTCTTTCTAATGTTATCAAGACTTTCTATGAACCAGCTCATGAACTCAGAAAACATTCAAGATTTTGGTCATTGATATTTGTTGGCCTAGGATTGGCTACTTTATTGGCAGCACCCTTGAGGACATTCTTTTTTGCTGTAGCCGGATGTAAGTTAATTAAGCGGATTCGCCTAATGTGCTTCGAGAAAGTAGTTTACATGGAGATAAGTTGGTTCGACAGAAAGGAGAACTCAATTGGTGCAATTAGCACCCGACTATCTACAGATGCCGCATCTGTGCGAGGTATGGTTGGAGAGTCACTTGCTTTGGTTGTGCAGAATACGTCGACAGCTATAGCTGGTTTAGTTATTGGACTTGAAGCAAGCTGGCAATTGGCACTCATAATGATAGTTATGTTGCCTCTAATTGGATTAAATGGATATCTTCACATGAAATATGTCAGTGGTTTCGCCGCTGATGCTAAGGTTAGCTCCAAACTTCCGTACTAACGAAAAGTTGCAAGATGAGTTTTCTTAATGCAATTGAAATTTTTCTGCAGAAATTATACGAGGATGCAAGTCAAGTTGCCAGTGAAGCAGTTGGAAGTATAAGAACAGTAGCTTCTTTCTCTGCTGAAGAGAAAGTGGTGCAACTATACAAAAGAAAATGTGAAGAACCAGTTAGAGCTGGAATAAAAGAAGGGTTATTGAGTGGTGCAGGCTTTGGTTTTTCAATGCTCTGCTTGTATTCTGTCTATGCTGCCAGTTTTTATGCTGGTGCTCGATTGATTGAGTCCGGTAAGGTCACATTTGCTGAGGTTTTTCGGGTAAGTCTTGTGAGCTAAAGATAAGATTTTGTATCAAGTTTCTTCTCTTTGTTGTTTTAATTTTCCTAGTTCTGAATTTCAGGTTTTCTATGGTCTTAGCTTGACAGCTACCGCGATTTCTCAATCAGGTGGCCTTGCTCCTGATTCCACCAAAGCCAAAAGTGGTGCATCTTCTATCTTTGCACTTCTTGACAGGCAATCCAAGATAGACTCAAGTGATAACTCAGGAATGACATTAGAAAATGTGAAGGGAAATATTGAGTTTCGACATGTCAGTTTCAATTATCCAAGTAGACCTGAGGCTCAAGTTCTAAAAGATCTATGCCTAATCATTAGCTCTGGTGAGGTAAATTCTAATGCATTATTCCAACTTTTTTTTGCGGTCTTATGACACGATTTGTCAATGATTCTGATGTAAAAAATGTATTTCTTTATGCTAGACGGTTGCGCTAGTAGGAGAAAGTGGGAGCGGAAAATCAACAGTTATTTCTTTGTTGCAAAGATTTTATGATCCTCATTCAGGCCTAATCACATTAGATGGCATAGAAATTCAAAATCTGAAAGTGAAATGGTTGAGACAGCAAATGGGACTGGTAAGTCAGGAGCCTATATTGTTCAATGACACAATCAGAGCAAATATAGCATATGGAAAAGAAAGTGATGCCACAGAAGCAGAAATATTAGCTGCTGCTGAGTTAGCCAATGCTCACAACTTCATCAGTGGCTTACAACAGGTAACATTTTGTGGAATGAAATTGTAGCTGTTACAAGGGGAGCCTTGACGTAACTGGTGAAGTTGCTGCCATGTGACCAGGAGGTCATGGGTTCGAGCCGTGGAAACAGCCTCTTGCAGAAATGCAAGGTAAAGGCTGCGTATAATAGACCTTCGTGGTCCGACCCGGCGACCCTTCTCCGGACCCTACGCATAGTAGGAGCTTAGTGCACCGTGCTGCCTTTTTTATTGATCAGATTCACTAAAATAGGTTCTTGGTCACCTTTCTTGTGTGTAAGTTCACATACACACTAAGGGATGTTATCCGGCATTGCTTCGAATTTTTTGTGTGTGCTTGTAATAACACTTTTTTCAAAAAATAATATGTATATATACAATAGACCGAATATCTATCTTGGACATGATGTAGACTTTAAACCATCATAGTTCTAGACCAAACCTACTTACAAGATGAATTATGACAATAGGCCGATACTGCTTCTGCAAGCATACGGCATTGCATTATGTCCTATGTTACATGGATTCATTACGTGTACAAATCAAATATGAATGCATGGAGTCTTTTTAACTTTGGGTGTATCTCGAAAAATTTACATGAATATCTAAAGTCATAGCCGTTCAACACGCGTATGTCAAGACATATATATAAAGAATCATCTAAGATAGACTTAATCTATGTCCTTTGCCATTTCATTCTCAACTTCTTGCCTCATAGACTATATGCAATTTGCTTCCTTTTCACCTTAATGTGCAGGGCTATGACACACTAGTTGGTGAAAGAGGAATACAACTATCTGGTGGACAGAAGCAAAGAGTTGCAATTGCAAGAGCAATAGTGAAGTGTCCAAAGATACTACTACTAGATGAGGCCACAAGTGCACTTGACTCTGAGTCTGAGAAAGTAGTTCAAGATGCACTTGATAGAGTAAGGGAAGGCAGAACTACAGTTGTGGTGGCTCATAGGCTATCCACAATTAAAGGAGCGGATGTTATTGCAGTAATCAAAGATGGAGTCATTGTTGAAAAAGGAAATCATGAAACTTTGATTAATAGAGAAGATGGTATTTATGCTTCTCTAATATCAAAGTCTACTAGCACTATGAAGTAGTACATGTTTTTTATATAATAATAGTGTCACGGGTTCAAGCTGTGGAAACAGCATCTTACAGAAATGTAGGATAAGGCTGCGTACAATAGACCCTTGTGGTCCGGCCTTCCCCGGACCCCCCACATAGCGGGAGCTTAGTGCACCAGCCTGCTTTTTTTAGTGTCTAGTCCTTTCTTGAGCCGATGATCTATCGTAAACAAGCTCTTTATCTTCACAAGGTAGGTATAAGATCTGCGTATATACCACTATCCCTAGACCCCACTTGCAGAATTTCGCTGGTTCTATTGTTAAATGGTATTCAGTCTAGTTTATGCATCTATCGATTGTTTCATCGGGCACCTGCTATTTCTAACGAAGCAGTACATATTAAGGTACAAGGAAATGTAATGTTGGCAAGGGAACTACAATTTCTTAATCTCTTTCATTTTCTCTTTTGTTGAGCATATTGTGCAATTATTAATGGAGTATTCCATATTCTTTCTTACTCATGGAGGAATGAAGCATCAATACTTCTCTCTTTTCTTTCATAATAGCTTTTGGGATTGCTTGGACATTTGACTAGTAGGAGAATGAAAGATGGAAGACATGGCTACAACCTTATACTTAAAATGATACTCCTCTCAATTTATGTGACATAGTTTGACTTGACACGGAGTTTAAGAGGAAGAAAAAAAGAAAATTTTTAAAATTTGTGGTCTCAAAAACTTAAAAGATAAAAGTTGGTAGAACCATAATATTTGTGTGGCTATAACAAGCTTTTCATTAAGAGTAAAATGGATAAATTAAATTATTTTTTTAAAATATAAAAATGTGTCGTTCTTTTTAGATAAAAGTAATAAGGAAAGTGCGGCAAATAGATTGAAACGAAAGAAGTATGTATTTAAGTTATATAATAACAGTGTCAATTCATTTTTGACATTGTAAATTCTTAAAATTATAGGCATATAGTAGGTTATCATTCTATCTTTTCATGTCACCAGATCAGACTCTATATCAAGAATTACTTGTTATTGTAAGCTAATGTAACCTGATAGTGTCAAGAATCTAAATATTGTTAGTGCACAAAACCTAAATTCAAATAAAATTACAACTGTCAGAGTCTACTTTCAATCCATCCTGTCAGTCGTTATTTTTTCTTCTATGGTGATACTTATTTTCTATGTTTCTCGGACTAGCTCTGAAAATAACTTTAACCTCACTCTAATTATAGTTTTTGATTTGATAGTAAAAGTAATGTTTAATTTTATTAAAATAGATAAGGAAAGTAATTAAAGAAAAATAGAAATAATTTTATATTGTTTCATAAGTGATTACTTAAAGGACTAATCCTTTTCAAATTTGGAGAATTCTTAAGTCGTCCAAGCAAAGATTTCGTAAAAAGGGGTACTAACCAAAGCCTGGCCTATGAGATATCGATCACTTTTCAAAGTCGACAAAGCATATATAAAAGCGTATATTATATTTTTTTAATTTTTAAATGGCAGTTTCAAATCAAAAAAATGCGTTCGTAAAGAAATATGGAAAAGAAAGGAATATTCGATAGCATTAAAGGCTTTTTCCGTAGCAAAATCTCTTTCTAAAAGTTTTTTTTGTACCCCAAACAAATATAAATAAGTAATAAAAATGTTAGAATAATTTGAATCAACTTGAAAAAATTATTCAATTATTATCTAATTGAATAATTTAACAATTTCCTTTTCATATTAGAAAAAACAAAAACAAAAGGGAACTTAATAAGTTAATATGGTTATTGTTTGATTTTTCAATCCTCTATTAAAGCTCGACATAAAAGTACATTTTAATCACTCAAAATAGAAAAATACAATATTTTTATTGCCTTTTAATTACCTTTTTTTATTTATAATTTTAATCACATTTATCTTTCAATGTCTGAATCATATTTATCTCTACATCTCACTATTATATTAAAATTTTCTAAATAAATTACAGTTAACCTTTTGTTCCCACTTTACGATTTCTTGTTATTAATATCACAACCAAAGAAGCAAGAAAAAAAAAGTAAAAACAGCAATTGCCACGTAATCAGCAAGCATTCCACGTGGCGTACACAAGGCAAAATCCTAGCCGTCGATTTTAATAAATACAATCCAACGGTCGTAAACATAAGAAAAAGCATGGCGGGAAGAAGGAAAAACGTGGGTAACCGAAAATGGTAGCAAGCTCACCTGCGCAAAGCACAAATCCACTGCCACGTAATATTCAACCAACCAATACCTTCCACGTGTCATAAAACAGTTAGTGAAACTTCTCCGTTATTACATCGAACAAGGAATAATTCTTTGTATATATAAAAACCAAAATCTTTGTTCGGTTTGACGGTGAAGCTCAATCAAAAGAACTTCAGCGTCTAAACAAAAAATGGAAGCCTCTACCGGAGTTTTGCGCCGATTTCCTTCCGTCGCCGGCGCTGTTGCCGGAGTTAACAACAACCGCTTTCACCATAACTCTTCTAGTTCAAAATTGTCCATGTTAAGTTTTACAGAAATTAGGGGAAGTTTGAAATCGAAAAAGTTAATGGTTTCTGGGTTTAAAGATGAGGGTTATTTGGAGTATTATAATTCTTCTGGTAGAGGTAGTAGTAGGATTATTAGGTGTGGGAAGAAAGAGAAGAACAAAGAGAATGACGTGGCGTTGAAAAAGACGAAGAAGAAGATGAAATTGCTTAAGGGTTTGTCTAGGGATTTGTCTAATTTGAGTGAGATGGGAATTGGTTTTGGTTTTGGTTCTGATATTGGTTTGGTTGATCAAGTTCAAGGGAAGACTATTTCGGTAAGTTCTTAATGATTTAATTTTCTGTATTTCTCAAATTTGAATTGTGTTGTTATTATCTTGTTTGTTTAAATTAAGTTATGCAATTATTCAATCTGTGTAAAGTTATTGTCTTGTTTGTTGTAATAAATCAGAAGTTAAACTGATCTTGTGAGATGATCAACTTTTTGTTGGTGTTCAGGTTTGAGCAATATATATTAGTATACAAATATATAATTTTACTAAGTTCAAACCTAGTTTTGCACCTATGTTGTCTATAGATCTACAAATCTAAAATCCTAGATTTAGCTTACTGATTTGGTATTTGACACCCAGAGGTAGAAGCCGGATTTTCACCAAGGGGTTCAAAAAATGAAAAAAAGTAAACATGCGAAGAAGTTGAGAGGATTCAATATCTAACATATATACATGGAGGAAAAACAATGTATTTTTTGGCGCCTTCTGCACACCTAGCTCTGCCCCTGTTGACACCCGTATCCCTGTTTTATGATCTTCATAGTTTAATACTCCAAAATATAATTCTGCTCAATCAATTGCTCGAATCGACCAGTTTAGTTGTATTAGGTTTAGACTAGTTAATGGGCACACAAAATTGCACAAGTTAGATAGAAGTGCAAATACACAAGCGGATTCTCAAGTTTGAACTTCACTATGCTGTTAAAATTATGGGTTCAAATCTAATATTTGTTGAGATTTTAGTAGGTTTTTAAATATATATATCTGTGTCAAAAGTTATTATTTCATGTGAAACCGTAGCCCTAAGGCTACATCCACCCTTGCAATTAGATGTGTTAGATGACTAACCAAATATTAATATAATTTCTTTTATTTCTATTCTTGTGGTAGTAAATAAGTTAGAACTATATGGAATATTTCTCTTCCAGTTTGTTTATGTTGCCTTTCCTCTCTATTCAGGAAACGGCAGAGCTATTGTTAGGACAACTTCAACAGCTAAAGGCAGAGGAGAAAGAGTTGAAGAGGAAAAGAAAAGAAGAAAAAGCACTCATGAAAATGAAAGGAGCAAGTCAAGTACAAGGCATAACGAACCGTGAAATGTCATCATCTTCAAGCTCTTCTTCCGAATCAAGTGAATCAAGCGATGATGAATGTCAAAATTTGGTTGACATGAAAAGCCTGAAAATAGAATCTCTTGCCCAAACAATACCGGAGGCATGTGAACGTGCACTCGAGAATGCAACATCAACAATAGAGAATCATATGATTGAGCCTCGGACTCAACATCCGGAAGTGGATACATCAGTAGAGATCTCAAGCAAATCATCAACTTCCAATGAGGACTCAACAGAGAGGATGACGAGTCTAGTAGTACCTGTCCCTACTATTTTAGAGCGAAGCGAGGAACACTGCTTGGAAGCTAGTGACCGCTACATTGGCAATGTAGGCAGCAGCCCTAATGCAGCTGTAGCTGCTACAACAACAGCAGCGGGGACGAAGAAGATTGAAGTATGTATGGGGGGTAAATGCAAGAGATCAGGCGCTGGGGCGATATTAGAGAAATTTCAGCAGATGGTTGGGATTGAAGCTGCAGTCTCAGGATGCAAATGCATGGGAAAATGTAAAGTTGGTCCCAATGTCAGAGTTTCAGGGTGTAGTAGCAGCAGCAGCTCCGCCGCGTTCCTAGCTGGTGATTCTGTCTCTGTTAACTCTGCTCCTAGCAGTAATAGTTCTTTGTGTATTGGGGTTGGTTTAGAGGATGTGAGTTTGATTGCAGCCAATTTGCTTGGTAGATATCCAGAAGTAGGGCTAGCCAATGCCGTGCGTTAAGATGTTCTTTTCTTTCAATGCATTAGGTAGGATATGAAGTGATTTTTAGGATTAGCAATGGGTTTTGGATTGCTTTTTGATAATGTAAATATTATCATTATTTACTACGTTTGCTATATTCCTTTGTAAATAGTATATTATTATTTACTGAGACTTTAGTGATTGTTATGTCATGCTATACTGTACTTTGGTCAATTCATTTTATATGGCACCTTTTTTTTGATCCGTTGTAGCAACATTATTTACTTTTAAATTTTCTCTTCTTTTGGCACTAGTATTTACTAGTAGTTGATATGGGAAAAGTCATTTTTCTTAATGTTTGTGTTCGATCAAATACTGTTGTCAGTGACTTACAGTTTTCGTGTTCAGTCGAATACTATTCATCTAAAATATACCATACGGACCTATTTTTACCTGCTCGTTTTTACAGTTTCACCATGTTAAAGCATACAGAGAACTGATAACACCATCTCTTCCCATTGACTTAATTAAGCATATTTTAAGAATAGGCATGGCTAACAAAATAGGGGAAGGGGAAAAAATGATCAAAAGCATCTCAGGTTTTTTGGGATTAAGGCGTAGTTGATTGATATTAAACGTACATTCTATATCCGAGATATTGAGACAGTAAGGCATAACATAGTTGACAAATTGAAAAGGTGTTAGATAGCCCAAAAAGGAAACATAGCATATTACTACCCTCTATCAAACAAAATGAGGGAATGCTCCGTACTACTGCTAAACAAGTATTCATAGACTAGTCGAATATACACACCACCGATTTCCTCTACTGTGTATATGAGACGGGGGTTTAATATTTGTTCTTTGAGTGCTCATTGCTCACTGATGACAATGTTTTTTCCTGAGCTCATGAGGTGGTGAGTTATTACACCGCTTTATGAAGGAGTCGAGGGTCTTCTGTTTTGAAGGGCTGCTGTAGGACTGATTAGTCGAAACTTCCAAGGACTTCTCGTGGCCATCAAGCATCTGCATACACATTTGTAACTTTATTAGCGAGGGTGCTAGTTTTGTACCTCAAGTATTCAATAGAGAATTAAGTAGAAGACCTGTCCGAGATTTTCCAGCTTGCTCTGAACAACATCCCTGTACAAAAGTCATAAGAATAGCCATTACACCAGAACTTCTACCTTTAGCATGTTCACTCTCAAATAAATTAGAAAGCTCTATTAGTAACAACAGGACGTACCAAATAATGTCATCAACAGTGTCATTTGCCAGCAGATAACACACATTGACAGAGGACACCTAGAAAGGAAGCACATCCATTAAAGTTCTGACTCCTGAATATATTGATTTCTTAGAGAATTAACGCTACTGTAGTCTGCTAACTTAACATGCAGAGACACCCATAATTTAGTCGTTATTTAAACCAAAATTACTGGAATACAGATAGGAAATAGCGAAATACTGCAAATGAATCAGTGTCTTCCAACTTATACTCCTTTTATATTCCTATTTTTGGTTGCATTAAGTGCTAATGAATCGCCGAGGTTCTCCCGGAAACAACCTCTCTACCCTTCCGGGGTAGGGGTAAGGTCTACGCACACTCTACTCTCCCCAGACCCCATTTTACTGGGTATGTTGTTGTTGTTGTTATTGTTGCTGTAAGTGCTAATGAATCACAACAGCTTGCTACAACAGCCAATTAACCAAGCCATGTATACTAGCGGATTTGAAAATAATTCAGGAACGAAAAATATCTTCAAACAATTATCTAACATTATGTTGCTCACCTGGCCAATTCTGTGAGCTCGATCCTCGGCTTGAATAAGGTCACCTGGTGTCCATGATAATTCTGCAAATATCACTGTACTTGCTGCTGTTAATGTTAACCCGACACCCCCAGCTTTGATGGATAGCTATAATACAACAGTTATAACAATATTATTTCCCATTTTGCATAACCTCCCTTTTGCACTTTATTTATAGATCAACCAGGAAACCAGTCATATGGTCAAATTACACAGTTTCTTTGACTAATTATAATAGATCCATGACATTACCACTGCAGCCTTAATTGTTTCTTTTTCCTGGAAATCTGTTACCAATGCTTGTCGTAATGCTGATGGAGTACTGCCATCAATCCTAATACAACCAACCTTCTTCTTCTGCAAAACAAAGGGAACATTCAAATAGTCTACAATTCTCGAATTTCAACTAAAACATGCAAATCTTACAAGTAAATAGTTGTGTATCGATTCAATCATTGGTTGATGATGCGCAAATATCAGGAACTTGCAGTCTGCCTGCATGTTTGAAAAAACTACAGTTATTACACCAAAAAGAACAAGAAGGATATCGAAGCTTATATGAAGAAGCAAGAAGTTGGCATATTGGAGAGGACGTGCAACTGCTCTATAGACAAAACATAAATCATTGTGTTGGATAGAAGGACAGCCACTTTTTGCATGACAGAGCACTCTTTGGTGTAAACAATGGAACTGATGCAAGGACCCTACGAGCATCACTTAACAACTTGAAACTCGCACTTGACTCGAAAATAAGTTTATATGAGAAGTTGAACTCGCACTTGACTCGAAAATAAGTTTATATGAGAAGTTGAACTCGCACTTGACTCGAAAATAAGTTTATATGAGAAGTTGTACATCAGACAAGTTTTAGTTGACATGTGTTGTCATTATTAGTAAGGTCTCAAACACCTAGACCTCAAGTTGCAACTTGGTTGTTTTGAGTAAACTCACATCGAGTTAAAACAGCGCTTCCAATATCCTTATTTATCTGTAGGTTGTGTATCTGATACTGGAGTTCCCTTTCTTCTATCTAATGGAAAGGCAATATCTTTCTAATTTCCAAAGAAATTCAACGGCCAATATTTTCTGATTTTATCTTCCTTTTTGGCTCTTCAACATGAGAATAGTGCTTCCTTTTCCCTTTGTACTCTTCTCCCTTACAGATGGTATTGTCTTTTAATCCAACGTGATGAAAGAGGTAAAGAAAGAACATTCCAATAGAGCAGCTGGAGATGCTTTCACTTTGTATTCTGAATATCTAGGATGTAGAAGAAACCAAGGCCATACCTCAACCATGGTTCCTAGGTAATCCAAAACTGCTGGAATTTTGGCCTCAGCAGAGGCAGTGTAAATCTGCAGCCCAACAAGCAAAGAATAGGGTTTAGAACTTTGGTAAAAACAAAGCAGCCAAATCAAGTTTTTAGAAACAAAAAAAATCCAAAAAATGGCAGTGAGCAATGTAAGAAACCTAGAGCAAATTTGTAAAATGTCATTATTACGCACCAGCAATTAAAGAAATAGGGCGCCCAGAGAAGTCTAAAGCAGCCCCAGAAGTATGGGCAGCATGCAGGTAAAAGATGTCTGAGATTAGGCACTGTTAACACAAGGTGACAGTAATTTAAGACTAACAGAAGATTTCCAGGTTTATTCCAGTATCTCTGTAAATTATAGTAACATTTACCTTCTCCAAATAAAAACTTCATGCACATTAATCTACCCTATCGGGCCAACAGCAATTCAGCTCATATTGTATTAATCGGTGGGTATTCCAGTTGATCAAATAAAACTTAGCCAACATGAACAATGCAAATGATACGGAATTTTTTTTCAAACAACAATACTTTCTATGTGCCAGATACTATGATTGAGACTGCAGACAATTCTTAAGTGGTTTTGCCATTATTTTCTTGGATGGTCTGTTCTTCTAGCATTAACTTTTAGTAGTTGTCAACTTTTTATAGGACAATTGTGCATGGATTTGACAACAAGGTCACAAAGACTCAGCTCCTATTACTCTAGGAGACTGAGGAAGCTCATTATGCTTTCTACATCAATCACATCGCTCATTTTACACAGAAACACTTAGGTGTGTGCCCCTAGCAGCACATTATGCCAGAACAGAATATTGTTGCGTCCCTCAATTTGACTTGAGTTCAATCTGCAAATTTCTCTTATAAACTCCTAATTTATTTGTGGTCTACTTACCTTCCCAGAGGACAAGTTTTTCAATCGGCCTACACACAGGAGCACTATTCTGACAGCAGAAGTTTTCGGAGAAAAGGGATATATTGTGAGTCAAGTGCTCAAGGCGCAAGAGGCAAAGAGAAGCATATCATGCAGTTAAACCAGGATAAGATCAGTATAATTTTCAAGAATCCTTGATATAGCACTCAACTCTCCAAACTGATTAAAAAGAAATAAATAAGTAATCATAATCTAAATTTGCAGATGTACCTTAGTGATGAGGCTCTTCTCTGCAAACTTAAGAGATTTAGCCTCCTCCTCGGACTGAGCTAATTTATATTTCCCCTTAATGACCTCCAACTACAGGATGCAACATTCGATTAAGTAAAAATGCTTCCTCAAAGATCAAGGACTGTCAGGCATCATTATCAAAGAAAGTTCTTTACAATCTTTGAACCGGACTATCAAGCATCATATATTTCTCTAAATCCGTTTCTTTAAATTCAAATTAGCAAAAGGAAGTTTCAAGAAATAATAATAAGTTTCCAGTAAGAAGTACCACAAGAGACGTTAAGGTATTCATAGCTGAAAATTCAAAAGGAGGTTAACTGGAATAAATAAAGGTCATTGAATGCATAAACCAAGATGATTAAAAACAGAAAAAACAGCATTTCTGGTCCAAAGTCCCCTTCAAGTTATTGGGTGGGAAGGGGCCAATAAAGTATAATCACAAAGGTATACAAGAATACCTCACGAAATAAAATATTAACATGTCTCATCTCCTTCTCCCCCAAGTCTAGGAAAACCTGTAACGAAGTGAGAGAGAATGAGATGAAGTCATGTGGCCAGAACCATCAAAATGTAAGTCCAAATTTTATACCTGTTGCCTCCGCTTCTGAGGGAGCTCAGAAAGAACATCTTTTTTCAGTCTCCGAATCATCAGCGTTGCTTTCATTAGACTGTGCAGCTCTTCGTGATTACTTGCACCTTGATAAACTCCAAAGATGCCCTAGAATGTCAGCAAACCTGTTAGAGCACTTCTTTGTTATTGTAAGATGTCAGAAAAGGCTTCTGATGCAGGGGAGTTTTGACTTACACCCTTGCAATAGCGGTTGCCATATTCATGCACATTCTTATATACATTAGGATACAAGGCCTCCAGCTGTCAAGCACACAGTTTTAGATCACAAACCCCCAATAAATAATTTTTTTCCCTTCTATTTGAAACTTGATAGTAGTTAAGAACTGTATGCAGAGTACCAATAAAAAACTTTTTTATCAATATATTGTATACCTGTTTGAATAGTTCAATTGGCCTTGATAAAGCAGGAGTTCCACTGAGCAATATCACATACTGAGCTTTCTGCAGTAGTCAAAATGTAAGTTCATCAGAACCACTCCTTTCCATTTATAGATTTGGTAAAAAATGTTGGAGCTAAGGTCCAATATATGGAAGAAACAAGCGTTTCCATGACCCTATCACCCAGTCAATTCTGTTCCACTTAATCCCTCTTTCATGCTCACCAACTTGGATGGGAGTATTCAACCAATTTCCCACCAAGTTTTCAAAGAGTCATTTGTTCAGAGGCCAACTGATACTTTTGTTTCTTTTCTTTCTTGTTCATTTCGATATGTTTCATACTACAGAAAGATTTAGACAAAGCAGATGTGAAATTTCATCTGAACTTTGTCAACTTGATAACCATGAGTTGAACTTCTCTGTTGTGAACTGTATCTTGAAATATATATTGCATACAGTTCAGGGTGGTGCACTGAACTAATTGATGCGTGCCTCTTTTCCATTTACCATTTTTTTTTTAGATGGATGAAGGTTACTGTAAAAAGTATCAAGAGATGCCTCCATGTATCGAGCACAAGTAACTACAATGATATATATCCATCTTCTTTTTTCTTTTTTTGGAAAAAAGTAATACATCCATCATCATTGAGTGAGAACACTATAGAACAAACCCACCCCTGAACACAGTGAGAATGCACACAGACCTTTTCTTTATAAAAGAAAGGAAGCAGACCTGTAATAAGGGAAGTGAAGCACCGGTTCTTTTTGCTTGGGCATTTTTCAAGAAGTGTGATTCATCTGCAATAACAACCTGAATAAACATATCATCACGGATAACAGTCATTAAGTAGCATGAAAATGCCAACCATTAGGGGAAATCCAACACAAAGCACTTAATATAAACACAATAATCAAGAGGTTAGAGAAGTATCAACATCCAAAGACTGAAGATCTTAAGCCTCTATAACAAAAGGGTATCCAAGCAAATAAGAATGCAATAAAATCCAGATAACAAAAAAGGTCTTTTAACTTTTCAGTCATGTTATATCACTCACAATAATAGACAAATACATATACTGAGCCATGTTGAATACAACGTCAAGGTCCATCAAAAGATAAGGTACTAAGGATTCAAATTGTTCAGGTATTAGAGAATTGAATTACAGCAGATGTCAGATCCTGTAGATAATGTACTGTACTTACCTTAAAAGTTGATGCCATAAGTAGATCTTGAAGCTTAGGGACTATGTCGTACGATACTATGTTGAACACACCATCAAGGTGAACGGACTTCTTAGTGTTTGAAGGCACTATTTTAAATCCTGCCTTATTTGAACCACCCCATTGAGATAAAACCACCTGTGTAATAGAAAAATATTAATTATCTGGGAACTTGAAATGCGACTTGTTTGTAACATTACATTCCTCTCTAGTGGCACTTGCTCTTTAAGGTTCCATTGCACGTAAACATAGAACTGTTAATCAACTTACCTAGTAATTGAATAGCAATGAAAAGCTTCTCATAAGTTACCTCAAAGTAGGCAGTAACATAATTAGATTCTGCGATAACTTAAGGTGCAACATTAGAAAATTTTGAACCAGAGTTAAAAAGATGGCCCATTAGAAACTTGCCTTCTTACATCTATAACATTGTGGTAGACAAAGAAGATAGGGCACGACAAGTATTTCTATAGTGGGGAACAATGATATTTGCAGTCCAATTTGTAGAATGAACTTAGAAGACTAGAAGGCACCTATGGCCTTACAGAAATTTGCCAAGACAAAAGATTGCTCTTAATACCAAATGAAGAAATCATTGATGAAGTGTGCAGTCCAGATCACTGACTACTGATTCACAGAGGAGATTGAACTGAAAGTAGGTGTCAAAAAAAGGGGAGAGCATGGCTATTGCTGGAAATGGAGAACCAAACATGGGGGTCTGACCCTGCGAGCCATTGTCTTCCACGTGGAAACCTTTGGCCACTGTTGTTGCCGCAGCGATAGAGATTCGTGAAATTTGGCGAGAGTAATTTGAAAGCTTTCCTTTATTTATTGTTGAGGGTATTTTATTCAGTACCCATTAACAAGAAACTGCAGTAGAAATATTTACAAAGTAATTTGAAAGTTGAACAAAAAAGCTATGGAGCGAGGTAGAAAAAGCAAAGCCAGTTCACAGAATAGTTTTTATGATGAAAGTTTGAGAAATGAGGAACAATGTCGGATTTATTGATGAAGATAACTAATTTGTGTATAACTTGATTTTAAGAAAAGTTTGAGAAATGAGGAACAATGTCGGATTTATTGATGAAGAGAATTAATTTGTGTATAACTTGATTTTAAGAAAAGTTTGAGAAATGAGGAACAATGTCGGATTTATTGATGAAGAGAATTAATTTGTGTATAACTTGATTTTAAGAATACAAAGAAATACTCAAATTATTAGGCAGAAATACAACAAATTAAACCATATTAATTAGGTTAACCAACATTAATTTTTCAGATTGGCACCTCGGGCCCATCCTTGGCTTTCACCTATAACCTTTATGTTTTTTTTCATTTTCTAGTAATTAAAGCTTGTGAGGGGTTGTTCTGATGGTAAGCAACCTCCACTTCCAACCAAGAGGTTGTGAGTTCGAGTCTACCCAAGAGCAAGGTGGGAAGTTCTAGGAGGGAAGGATGCCGAGGGTCTATTTGGAAACAGCCTCTCTACCCCAGGGTAGGGGTAAGGTCTGCGTACACACTACCCTCCCCAGACCCCACTAAGTGGGATTATACTAGGTTGTTGTTGTTGTTGTTGTAGTAATTAAAGCTTGCCGACCCCAACTTGGTTGGGACTGAGTTATAGTTGTTGTCTAGTAAATACAACTTCTCTTTAAGTGATTAACCAATTTAATCATATATGAAGAAAGCTAAATTTTAAGTACAAGCACAAGAAATACTAATTATCTAACATCTTTAATTATCCCAAAATCTAGTGTAATATAGTAAATATCTATAACACCAGACTAAATTAACTTTATTATGATATTTACACCTTATTTCCTTGTGTAACATTCAAAAACGTGAAACTTCTACTTGAAGTGAAATTGAGGATTTAAGAGCTCGGGTGAATTCTTTCATGTAAAAACAAGGAGTGCACAGAGCTAAATTTGAAGTATAACCAACTCCACAAATTGAATTGTAAAATACTAATGCAGCAATTGACATGATACTATACATATTTGTGAAATCATCATATTTAGATCTCAAGATATCGAACAATGCTAAAACATCAAGAAACTCAACCCGTCTACACAAACATTAATTTCATTCAACTGTTCTAAATTTCACTGCGCAATCATCAGCAACTTACTTCTCTATAAAAGAAAAATAGGAAAAAAGTTATCGAACCATACAAGTATTTCCGATGATGGAATATTCAGCCACTGTTGAATCATCTGCATTAAGCACCAAAAACAGTGAGTGCAAGGCAAAACTCCTGATAACATACAAAAATTACCATGACTTACAGAAGCCCAGTGAAGCCGTAAGGAAGATGGAACAAGAACAAGAACTGGCCATGATTCGCGGATGCATGAAACCACAGCGATAGCCTGCAAATGTGAAAAGAAATAAAACATGTATGATACATAGAGATAGGGCAACCAAAGATCCATGTCAAAGAAAATCCCGACCATAAAAAACTTGATTATACGTATGTCACACATTTGGTCATATAATTATGCATATCAGTTACGGATTGAGGTGTGTAAAACACATGCTAACTGAAAATATAAAACCATCTATGTCAAATATAGTTGAGAGAAACAAAAAATGATCACTTTTGACAAGGCATATTTAGGTAACCAATTGGCTATCAACTGTCAACATTGACTCTCAATCAGCTTAAGTTCATAGTTTGAAGGCAAAAAAAGATCTGACAAAGTGATTTTGGGTTGTAATGCAAGAACAAAGTCAGACTAGACATTACACAATAGAAGGAAGGAGCAAAATAACAACATAATCATAACCCAAGACAGGAGAACTAAAGCGGAAATGCAAATATAAATAGCAGCAGAGGAGCAGCAGTAGAAGAAGTACATGACTGTCGAAGCTTGCAGATGAGCCACAATTGTTGACTCAAATTTGAGTAAATTCTCGTCCTATTCACTATTTTTTCTTTAAGAAAGAATTTTTGTCCACAGTTCAACACGCACATATTTGATGCCATGACATTGTGCTTTTGAGCCTGGAACCTATGTTGCGCAGACTCTCCAAAACAGTTGCCGCACCCGTGTCGGATCCTCCAAAAATACACTATTTTTGGAGGATCGGGCAAGCACCCATCTATATTTTCGGAGAGTCCGAGCAACATAGCCTGAAACAGTCATTTTGTTAAAGCACACACGTGAATTTAACACAGCCTAACACTTGCGAGAACGGCTTACCATAGGTTGGCTCTGTTACTATGTAAAATAATATGAACATCCAAACCAATTTTTAAGGTAAGGTGGGGTCCACTAGAACCCTTTATATCATCCATGCCGGACAATTAATAACTCAACTAGCTATCAAGCTAGAACTTAGGGCCTAAAGTGAGACATCATAAGAAAAAAAAATACAATACCATAACCAGTAAAACGTTGTACCCTGAAAGAATAAACATTAAATTTGCTACTAACTTGATATTGCTGTTATATGAAAATATCAGCATGTAGCAGGTAAATGACTAAACCAACATTCAATTTGGCATAGTTTTAGCCAAAACCTGAAGAGTCTTTCCAAGTCCCATCTCATCAGCCAATAGGATACGCCCTCCATGCTGTAATGCAAATCTGAACAGAAAAATGTTATACCTCCTTTTTTAGTCAAAGAACAAAGAACAGCGTGCCCTTCCTACAGATCAAATTGACTAATAAAGGAAAAGCTCAAAAACTTCAAAAGAATTGTATAACATACCTGACCCCTTCACGCTGAAAAGGCATCAGCTTTGATTCAATACTATTTGGAATGAATTCATAATGATCTGGTGAAAAGAGAAAAACTAAATACACATACAAAGCTAGACGAACTGCTCTTGTATACAAAATGAATGTTTTATTGATATATAAAAGCAGGTGCTACATAGATGAGGATAAGATGTCCTATCAAAATCTAGGAAATGGACAGAAAATATGCTAGCACGACCCTTCTAATACGAATTGTATAAGAGCTACCAAAGGTGTTTATGAAGGACTAAGACTATTCGACCCGTTGCATTCAGATTTTGGATTAGATATTCATATTCTTTCACACGGTACGAAAATGTGTGCTAAGCCATTTCTCACACTCGTAAGTCTTGTTACCTGTAAACCCAGAAATCAGTTTATATGTGTGGAAAGGTGTTTTGAGTTACATAATTGTCCCAAATTAATTGGGTAAAGGATCACAAAGGTGTATTAAGGTCTTGACATACTCCACCCATTGCCTAAAGATTTTGGATTGGATGCTCAAATTCTTTCACAATACATACCATGAGAAATGATTGTCTAATAGGTATTGACGGCAATACATGGGCCTAAGATGACACAAGTACCAGCATAAAAGAATTCGTTCAAGGTGGCGTTGAACCAGCTGTTCAACTTGTACATTGTCTAATACTTGAATTTACTATCTACTCTGCACAGTAATCTCAAAGCAAGCACCTAATAGAAAATTGCAGTAAAAATCTAGCTCATTTCTGTTATTTCTTGATAATCTATTTCATGATAAGCATCGCCATGGAATTTCCACGGCAGTATAGCAGAGCAGCAGTGATTTACCTCGAAGGTCAGGCATCGCAGAAGCAGCAGCAATGGCACGTTGTACCAGAGGATCTAAATTCTCCAACTTACATGTTAAAGATGAACCAACATTAGCTTAATTAAATGGAACCAAAGAAGATTCAAGATATTTAAGTACCGGATTCTATGGAAAAAAACATATGCACAAGGTCCACCAAAGCTAACTCCTAATTTTTATTGTATTCTCATCAGAAGTTGGGAAAGTGATTTGAGGAGAGCAAAAGAATTTTCAACTCCTCACCTCCAGATTGGAGCCTGAAATTTCACGAAGAACTTTTCCTGCTATGGACAACGATGACAAAGGAAACATCCATAACCTGCAACATATATATAGAGGGACTCACTGCATTTGAATTTCGAATTCAACCCTGGCAAACATGATTTAAGATACTTGGCCAACTGACAAACTAACGGTTGATAACACAACAAAGCCAAAAACAAAAGTGTTGAATTGTGTAACCATCTTAGCTAAAAGCTTTAGCTGTTAGAGAGAGTACACTTTTATTTACTTAATTAAATCTCCAACACGTCCCCTCACGTGTGGCCTGATCTTTTTTCATGAGCACATGAAAATTCTTTTTGATTATGGCCGGCGGTGAGACTCGCACTCAAGACCTCTGCCTACTCCAATAACATGTTGAATTGTATAACCATCTCAGCTAAAAGCTTAAGTGCTTAGAGAGGGTACACTTTTATTTACTTAATTATATCTCCAACAAAAAGAAAAAATGTGAGTGCTAAGGATGGTGCTATTCAAGAGATGGGAGAATAGTTCTTCCCCGGGGAAAAAAAACATTTTTTCATTTGCCCTTTCTTTTGGCAACACAGAATACAAATATATTTGACATCCACACAATGGTTGTCTTCGGTCATGAGAGAAAAGGATACAATGAAATGTCATTTGCTATCAGTTTGTCTACTTGGATGAAATCTAGTCGCAGAGAACAGGAGTGCTTTTTGTTACTTTTAGACTTTTAATTCCCATATCTCCTCTTTTTCGAAGTTTATTGGAAATGAGGATTGGTGTTGCCAACTACAATTAGCTTGGGACTGAGGTGGAGTTGTTGTGGGGAGGGGGGTATTGCGTAGCAGCAGTTTCGTTGCCTGCTTCGACTATATTTGAAAGGAAAAGGAAATGGGTGGAGGGCGGCATAATAAAGAAAAGGACAAGAATACCTCTCTTTAGCACTCCAACTGGCTTTAGGGATTTTACGGCAAGCTTCAACAAGGATCTGGTAGAAGATAAGATCCACATTGTTTCCAAAAGCCAAAAAGGAAATCTTCAACAGAATGACATGATGCAAGTAGGCCAATAGCTACCTGGTCATATGAAAACTTTGCTGCAATATTTCCACTTGCATGAAGGAAAAATTTAACAGAGCGCTTTTCTTTTAGCTGTTTCACATGATTGCCATCATGAGGTCCAGAATTTCCAGCAGAGCTTGTTCCTTTGTTTTGTCAAGGGTGTTTAATGGACAGGCATACAGGAGTCAGGAGTCAGGAATATCTGAAAATCAGATATAACCACCTTAAGATGGGAGATGCAAACACTCACCAGAGACCTTATCTTCCCCTGATGAAGACTTTATTGTAGGTGCAGCAGATGATGCTTCTTCCTGCAACAGAAAAAAGGCAGTAATGGGAGTACCCAATAAGCTATTAATTCAGTTACAACTACTACTACTCAGTTGCAAACAAGTTGAGTAGGCTATATGAATTCTCACTGATCATGTTTCCCATTAAAATTCATCTCAGGCCATCATGCAAAATAAAAATAAAAATGAAAAGTATTAGAAATTCACTAGATTTCCTACTGGCATAAGAATCTCTAATAGAGCTAAAAGACTCCTAGAAAGTATAGGACCTAACATAGATGTATCAAAATGATTAAAAAATATTCCCAACTAATTGGTATCGCCTGTATAAATATTTTTCTTCTATTGTGTCTTGTCTTGTTGTTGTTCTTACTTGTTGCCATTACTTTTTTTCATCCTTTTTCCAGCCGAGGGTCTATTGGAATCAACTTCTCTGCCCTTCCAGGGTAGGGGTAAGGCTGCATACATCTTACCCTCTCAAGACCACACTTGTGAGATATCACTCACTTGTGAGAAATCACTAGGTTTGTTGTTGTTGTATTGCGTCTTGTCTCTCGTGAAGTCTGCTGATTCTAATAAATTAGTTACTTATCGAAAAAGAAATACTAACAATTTAGTTGGCAAAATATACAAATAATGTCAAGAAAAATCACCATAACACCAATGATATTGAGCAACCGTTTTAGCTATAGGCTCACCAGTGATGCACATATACAGACAGTTACATAACATGGACAGCACAGCTAAATTCTCCAAAGATGTAAGAAAACACAGACTAAACATGCAAATATCTGTAACCTAAGGAGTCAAACAGATGTATTCAACCTAAAACCTTAACGCCATAGCTGGAGTAGATCAATAACTCATTTCAGGTCTCATTCTTTTCGTTGGTCAAGCCAAGCCTGTACAAATATTTTGTTGAAAGGTGGTGGTGGTGTTATAGCAACAATTATGCCCAAAATATTAAAACTCTTGAAGACATAATTAAGTATGAAAGACAGGGAGAAACCCTGAGCAAACAATTTATTTACTTGGTTTAATTCTGAAAATCAAATCAACTCGAACCATATCACCAGCAGAAATCACAAATATATTTTACAGAGTGCAGATAATATGCTTGAAGAAATGCCTAGGAGAAATTAAAATCAAACAACGGTGAAAAATCCCAAATGGGTATGATTAAAAACGAAGTAGAAATGAAACTGAGTAGAAAAAACTGACTCTTTTATATGTAGCTGGAAAGGCAGAAGGGAGTGTAGATTGCAGAGAAGCGGCACTAGTAGTAGCAGTAGAAGAAGATGCGTTGCGCTCAGCTATTTGTTTTAGGGCATCTCTTTCGAGATTGTCCAATTCCTCTACACTCAATTCCCAATCATCCAAATCCATGGTTAATTGGTGTCTCCTGTTGCTTGCTTGCTTCTACTCCAATTTTGAATTCAAGAATTGCTGCCGGGTCTTTTCAAATTTTGGGGTTTTGCACTAGAGATATTTTGCAGAACAATTTGACAAATATGGTCCCTTACCTTTGGAATAGATTTACAATAGTCCCTTATATATACTCTTGAACAGGTTTAGTCCTGTAAATTTGCCAAAAGAAATCACTTCTAGTCTCCATCAAGTATTTAATTTGGAGTGTTTATGGTTCGGTTTGGGACAAAACCAAACAAATTAATTTGATTTTTCAAATACTAAAATTAAACCAATTAAGTTTTATCGGTTTAGTTTTGTCATTTTTATCGGGGTTTTCTTTGTTTCGGTTTTTCTTAAGATATGAAGCATACAGTGCTAGGTGCATATTTTGGCCACTAAATTCTACATAACACTGACAAACAAATTACTCATTGAGAAATTTTATCATTTATCAAAATATCTTAATTATAATTGAATTAAATAGTGATGAATAATTTAATGTCCCAATTAAAGATATGTTATTTCTAACATGAAATAAATTATTGAACTTAACAAAACAAGGACTACCAATCAAACTAGAATATAAAGACAATGAACTAGATTACTATAAGGCATAGAACTGAATTACAAACCAAGAGTGTGTTTACCCTTAAAATTGGATAACAATTAAACTTAAGTGGTTTTAAGGATATGTGATTTCACTTGGCACAAACTGATAAATATGAGAATTAATGTTAGAAATTAACAATAAATAGAGCAAACCAATATGATGAACAATTGTGGCCCTCGAGCTAAACCGCCCTCGAACCAACTGAGTGTGCTATTGAAAAGTATGAACTGAACAACAGAGCTTGTAAGAGAAAAAATATAATATATTGCCTTGTTATGCGTGAATATATATTGATTACAAAATGATTAGGACCCTCTTTATATAGTAGAGGATTCCTATTTATGGTATAATTCTAATTACAGAAGTAAATCTCATGATAGGCCAAATAACCGGTCCTGACTTGATACGTGCCGAGATTTTCGCCACTATTCTTGCCCGATCACGGATATCTCGGCTTTCTGTTATTTGACTAAGAAGGCTTCTTCAATCTCACTCAATCTCTTTCTCGCTTCGGTCTTGATCACGGCTAGGCTCGATCTTGATCGACCATTGATCCACGAGTTTCCCGATCCATCTCCGTACCATGGTCTGATATAATTGAGGCCGAGCCTTGATCTGCCACCCTGAGTTTGTTTAGTCATACAAAATTAGGCAAGCCTGATTTTGATCGTATATAGATAGTCCCCTCATTTTTTGGAGTGTACTGATAAGGAACGAATTGAGTCTTCGAACCTGCCCTTGGTTTACCATGACGTAAGTGTTGTGATGCAAGCGGCAGAGGTTACCGAAACGTCCCGGCGGTTCAGTTCCTCGGGTATTTAAGGCGCGTCAATTGCCGGTCGGCCACTACCAGTATTAAACTGTCGTCTTCAACCTATAAATGCATCGTTTTTTCATCTTTCAAACTTTGGTTACAAATCTCCTTCAGTCTAATCTTCAAAATCTTTGCCTTCTTCAGAGCTCTATATTTTCAGATCTCTGAATTTTCTTACTTTTTTTGTCGCAAAACACTAAGCGTTTTTCCCCCGTTTCATCATTCTCTACTCATAAGAATGACTAAAACTTTAAAAAAACATTCCGTATAAGGAAGCCGCCTCTTCATCAAAGTCCGCCGGGGCCGCAGTCGTGGCGAAACATCCCCTCGAGGACTTCGTTTCGACGAAGTGTGCCACTATTGTTGATTTCAAGGTGGAGAATACACCCTCGACACCGGGTTGATGTGAACCGATGTTGAGGTACATATGTACGATTACAGAAGATCTCCTCGCGAAGGTGAAAGAGGAGTGCAATTAGGTAGGCAAGGATGTAGTAGTTCCTAGCCCCGAAGAATCCATCACAGCTCACGTGGAGGGGTATCTGAGTGTCTATACCTACCCCTTCACAATAGGTCCCTTAGACCCTATCATTGTTGCTTGTCGCAAGAGGTACGATGTCACTTTAGGTCAAATCCATCCATCGTTCTAGAGGATCGTGATCCTCCTCCGATTCTTTGCAAGCAAGATTGAGGGGCATCTTTTTACCCTCGATCACCTCATGCGCCTTTACAGCCCCCGGCTTTATCGTGGAAGCATGATCAAGCTTTACTACCAAGCCACCAAACCCCCATTCTTGAGCATAGACGAGACCCAAGACCGAGGTTGGATGGGCAGATTTGTCTGAATAAAGACTTCGGACCTAATCCCCGCCGAAGACATGTCGTTCCTTGAAAAAATGGAACATGAAGTGTAAGTATTGCTTTGCCTTTGAATATCTATTTTTGTTGTTTTACTTCTTATCTTCCCCTCATCTAAGTTTTTTGCATTACAGTTGTGGCCGTTGTGTCGGAAGTGATCCCCAACCTGAGGCAATGGGTCAAGGGATTAATGTCACAAAAATCTTACTCCAAGAGTGCTTGGATGGAGTTATCAAAGGGTCAATGGGAGGCCTGTAATCATGGTAATCTTCTTTCCTTAGAACGGTTTTCATTCGGGCTTCGTTATCGTACTTATTTATATTTTCCTTTTTGTAGGCCTCGGTAAGGATGTACCAATGAGGCCCCCATTTGCTAAAAAAGAGGTACTTCTTTCATCATCTGCCCCAAAGCAGGGCAAAAAAAAGAAAAGAAAGGAGGCTCCGAGTTCCCCAGGCCCGAAAAAAAAAGGCCGGCTAGGAGGCCCCGTAAGCCCAAGAGGAATATCATCCATGTAACTCTGGAGTCCGTCCAACAGCAAAAGGACGAGACCAAAGACGAAGATGAAGAAGAAGAAAACTCTAGGCTGGTGACTCATGTGCGAGATGGCATCGAGATTCAAGGAATCAATGGACTGGCGGGAGCCGAAACTACTTTGCCCCGACCTGATGAGCCCGAGCGAGAAAAAGTTGAAGATACCTCACCGCGAGGTGGGAGGGCTACCGAAGATGCGATCGATGTTAACGCAGAAATCGGGCTTGAGGCTCCCTAGAACAAAGACGATGTTGCGAAAGACCCACTTGGGGAAATAGAGATCGGGGGTTCCCCTTTGTTCCCTCCAGTTCCTAAATCGATGATACGTGACGCTCAAGCTGTGGAGACTTGTCACGGGGAGGTAGCCCGTGGAAAGGAAGATTTCTTCCAATATTATTTCATTGAGGTAGAAGATGTCACCAGTCTAGGTGATTTGGACGTACCGAGGAAGAGCTCAAGTGAAGCTTCCTCGAGCTTTAAACTGACCAACCAATTCTTAACCCACAGTGTCGATCCTCGGGCGTAAGCAGCCACTCATCATCTTGGTTCTGGAGGATGCTCGAGTTTTCTCTGCCCCCATGGGGGTGGCTAGTTATCTTCGATGCTTGGTTACTAAAGAGGACCAAGCAAAGATAGATGAAGTGGAAGTTGTTTTATTGTTCGACGAAGCCCAGCACGCTCTGAACCGGGTAAGTTCGAGGGGCATTCCCTTATCTCTTTATGACTTTGAGTCATAGATATTTCTAATATTTCCTTCTTTCCTTGAAGGCTTCGGTGTTGCATCATGTGGCTTTTCTTCTAATTCGAGAGGAGCGCAAGGCTGAGGTTCAGGGCCTCACCGAGAAATGTGATTCCTATAGGCTTCTCACTGAGAAGCTTCAGGAAGACTTAGTGACGGCTCGAGATGAACATGCTGAGATAGACGAGCAGGTATTTCAAGTTTTTCATGATAGTGAGAATGAGTTGGAAATAACAACTAATGATCCAATTCTGCAGGTCTGACAGAGGCTCGAACAAATCAAGGACTTCTAAAGGCAAATAGATAAAGTGCAAGCCAAGGCTGAAGAGTTCAAGGGATGTATGGACATATTGGCTGCACAGAAAAGGGCTGTCCAAACAGAGATAGATTTGGCTGAGTCTCAGCTTCAGTTAGCAAGAGAGGATGCCTTGGTTCAGGCAAAGAGGGTCGAGGAGCTCGAATCCCATTCATCCAATTTGTCCAAAGAGCTCGAAGTGGACAAATCTGAGTTGGTCGCGGCCAATGTCAAGGCTTAGTCTAGCGCGACCTAATACAAAGATGATGATGAAGCCACCCTGGCGCAGTCCAAGAGCATGGTGAACCATGCGAAGTGGCAGGCTCGAAGGGAGGCCCTCGAGGGGTCCGTGATCAAAGCTTCGATATGTCTACTGAAATCGAGGTTGCTAGGGCAGAGGAAACGAAGGCTCGAAAGCTGGCCTTTCACGAGGAGGACTCAGAGAGTATGGGCGGATCTGGTGAAGAAGACTCCGACGGGGAAGATACTTCCTCCAGCAAGGATCATGCTACTTAGGCTTAGTGATCTTTTTTCCTTTTTTCTTTTTTTTTTCCGCTAAGGTCGCCCGACCTTTGTAAAGAATTTTTGACCGGGCCATATGGCCCTTGTAAAAATTTTGATGAATATATGAAACTTTTTAAATTTATGGCTTTTGAATCGGTTGCCCCTTTGTTTTTGTTATTTCTTGTAAGGGTAGAAATGCCTTAGCGTAAGATTTTGAAGTTGTTTTCGAGAACTCTAGGTTCGGGATGGTGAAGACCAATAACAAGCCTTACCCTTGACCGTTTTCAATCGATGAACCTAGAATGATTACTCGAACTTGAATTTACGTAGCCCTTAAACTTAGTGGTTGAGTGAGGACCTGATCGAACTCGAAATAAGGTAGTCCTTAGGCTTTTAGTCAAAGTGAAAGTAGCCCTTAGGCCTTTGTAAATTTTGTATTAGGTCGATCTGGCCTTTGTGAAATGATAGTTTAATCATACATATATAAGGCTTTTCTACCCTTTTCGGCTTTTAAAGTTTTCCCTTTATTTATCATTCATGTTCCCAAAGGATGTAATGCCTTAGCACGAAGTAAGGAATCGTTCGAGAGTTTGAACAATTTTGTACTCATTAGAGTTTTAGAGGCTTGATATTACCGAAGCCTTTTGTGATTTTGCCGGGGGTAGCCCTTTTAACCGGTTTTATGAAAGAATTTGAAGG